GCGCGAGCGGCAGCAGCAGCGGAGGTGAGCTAGGGCGGCCGGGGCACATTTTTAGGGGCGGCATTCTGGCGCCAGCCATGCCGCCCCTAAAAATGTGCCGCCCCAAGCACCAGCTTGTTTTGCTGGTGCCTAGAGCCGGCCCTGCCTAAAACTGGTGACATTGCTTCCCAGTTTTCCTATCTCAAGAGGCATCTCTCTCCCTTTGATAGTTTCCCTTCAGAGTAACACATTAGGTAAACACATTGGAGAAGGTACAGCACAGTCCATGGCAGTTACATGTGCACATACATACACACATGCACAAACATGTCTAATGTCCCATTTAGCACAGGGCACAGTACAGATGAGGCTCATGTGTATTTCAAGCTCAGCTGCTCTTTCACATTACTACAGAAGGTAAAAGATAATTTGTGTTGGCATGGAAGTAGCAGCAAATTGTGTTCAGGATTCTTTCCTATGAATGGAAAGAAATTGCCAGCCTTCAAGCTTGTTTGGTTGTTGAGAAGACTGTTTTGGAAGGATGTCCCTATCACTAACTACATCTGTGTGAATCCCATTTATGTCTGGTTGGCACTCAATTTTAGCTCTGTCTCTTCCAGATGATGTCCCCATACGGACCTGGTTCCCCAAGGAGAACCTCTTCAGTTTTCAAACTGCTACTACAACTATGCAAGCGTAAGTGAAATGGCTGTTGCTGTACCAACCTCTTTTCTCATAGTTAGTGTGTGGCCCATGCATGACTGCATCTTAGGATATCAAAACTTTGGACAGTCAAGTTCTGAATCTGGCACGATGGTATGTTTGGGTGAGTGTTGACCTAGTCCTTAACTCAGTCATTTTCTTACTCCCATCTTCACTTACTTGCTTATTCTGGCTCGTTCACTACTTCAGTCATTCATTCATCTCCCTTGTTTACTCAGGGCAGGTCTACATTAGATCTACTGTGCTAGGTCTACTATATCACCTGCCAGCATAATTACTCCACCTTCACAAGAGGCGGAAGCTTTGTCGGTGGGAGGGTGTCTTTTTCACACTCCTGAGCGATGTAAGTTAGATCGACTTAAGTGGTAGTGTAGACACACCCTCTGACTCATTCATTCCCCCCCCTTTAACTTCTTTCTTGATTAGCTCTCTAATTTATTATGTGCTTCCTCTGCTTGATGTGTGGGCAGCACACCCTGGCTTGTGGCCTGTGGAGAGAGCTGTCTGTGATGTTATTCCTGCAGGAGTATCAGCCCAGGCACTTCTCAGTTGCTTCTTTTGCTCCTGCCACCTCAGCTGAGGCCATGGGATTAGGTGGCTTTTGCTCTTGTCACTACTGGGGGGAGGCCCTGGGTTCCACAACACTGGCGCAGGGCCTGCAATTGAGTAAGAGAGACGAAGACATAAACTAACCAGAGTGGAGAGATCAGATCTGAACTAGGAGCAGCTTTGTCCCCTCCCAGCCTGCACTTGGGCTCAGGTGCCCCCAGACTGTTGTGTGTTGGGAGGAAATTGTCACTGGGAGGCCGAGTAAAGCTGGAAATGCTCCCATCAAGCATTTTGAACATTTTTCTTTCCTTAATGAAATCCCTGAAGTGTTTCCCATTAGGCTGAAATAACAAGAGTATTCCAGTGACAGCAACATGTGATGGAGAGGGAAACTGAGGGAGCCTTTTCCCCACTCTAATGCTCTTCCACCTCTCCTGCTGTGCCTTCCCCATCTTCACTGTCCCCTTCTCTTCCCTTTCCATTGCTCCCTCTTCTCCCCACTTCTCCCCCTCTCTATGTGAGGGATTGCAGGTCTCAAACCCGGTCCATAGGCAATGCTCAGACCACGGTTGCCACCTGGCAGCTCACCAGAGCCCATGGAGAAGGGGTCTAGCCAGGAGCGGCGCCAGGGTTTTTGGCACCCTAGTCGGGGGTCCTTCCACGCTCCCAGTCATCGTCGGCAATTCTGCAGCAGGGGGTCCTTCCGCGCTCCCGGTCTTCGGAGCACTTTGGCGGCGGGTCCCGGAGCGAGTGAAGGACCCGCCACAGAATTGCCGCCGAAGACCCGGAGCGCGTAAGGACCCCCCCTCTGCCGAATTGCCGCCAAGGGCGGCAAAATGCCACCCCCCAAATCCTGGTGTCCTAGGCGAATTGCCACCTAGGTCGCCTAAATGGAAGCGCTGGCCCTGGGTCTAGCAGCGCTTTAGCTCACCAAGGGCTCCGGCTACAAAGCTCCTGATTAGGGGAGATGTCCAGCCCCATCAAATGGCCTGGACACACTACTCAAGCCAGAAGGAGGCCCAGGAAGTTGCCTGAGTAATTAGGTGAATCCAAGGCTGTGTACCAGTATGGACCCAGCTTACTAGCCTGACTTCTGAGCCCTGCTTTCCCACCAGTTCCTGCCCTCCTCGCCCCAGATCCCCATCTGCACATGATTCCTGCTTTCCTGTCTCGCTCCAGGTCCCTGCTCCTGTGCCCTAGGCCCAGCTACCAACTCCAGCTCTGACACTTGGCTTGATCCCTGACTCCAACTCTGGCTTGACCCCTAGCTCTGATTCTTGGCTTGACTCCAACTCCAGCTCATCCCCTGACTCTTACTCCGACTTCAACCCTTGGCTTGTCTTCTGACTCTGTCTCTGACACCCAGTTAATTTCCTGGCACCCAACTCTATCCATTACGCCTGACTGCCCATTGTCCCAGTCCTTACAGCTTGTTTGGGCCACTATCTTCTACTCCTAGTGGGCCCAGCTGAGGATGGACCCACTGGAGTTTCCCATACCGCCAGGGCCATCAGTGCTGCACAAGCAGGTGATCTGCCTTCAGACAGGCAACTGAGCATTGCAGGCATAGAGCTGGCAGCTGGCTGCTGAGAATCAGGCATGGTGGGAGCAAGCCATCAACTCCAAGCAGAGAACGCTGTGCTCCAGGGTTCATCTAGCTGTGCTGTCACCCAAGCTGGGACCTGCTGTGCCACTGCCTGAATGCTTTGATGGGATCTGCTCTAAATCCTGAGGCTTCCTGAACTTCATGAGCTGTTGTTCTTGCTTCATCCACAGACGTACTCTTCTGACAAGGCCAAGGTGGGCCAGGTAGTCAGCCTGCTGACTGGAGAGGCGTTGGATTGGGCCTCCGCCCTGTTGGGAGCCAGCAGTCTTTGGTCAAATTGGGATGCCCTCCGGCAGGCAATATCAACCATTTTTGACAGCTCCAACCACCCCCCCCCCACTCCCCATTGGATTCTGCTCCGCCAGTTGAATCAATGCAAGTAGAATTATAGAATCATAGACTCGTAGGACTGGAAGTGACCTCGAGAGCTCATCTACTCCAGTCCCCTGCACTCATGGCTGGACTAAGTATTATCTAGACCAAGTAGACCTGGTGCACTGGCAACTCTCCCCTGAAAAGAGGGATTGCAAGTGATGCCTGTGTTACCATTGGGCCATGCTATCTCCAGTTGCCCCATGAGGAACCCAGCCTGAAGGAATTTAGCCCAGGCTAGGTGAAGAGTGCTAGCTTGGGCACTCTGGCAGAATGTTCCCCTGATCCCCGAACTGAGGTCCTGACAGGAATGTGTGCTGGCTCCCGGCGACTGGCACTGTACCCACAAGTACCACTTGAGTTATGAATCACCAACCACTTCTTCTGTGGTGGGCCCTCTTTGACTTGGGTGTAGCAGACAACTTTATCAATGCAGAAGCCACTCGGTCACTACAGATTCCCCTGTGATCCAGAACTAGAAGTGATAACTGACAGGTCCCTCTTATGCTCCAAGCCAGTGGCCACAGAAACTGTCCCTATCGAAGTTCCTATCCAAGAGCATTGAGAGATCCTACAGTTCAGTGCCATCCATTCCCAGCACTTCCGTCTGATCCTGGCCCTCCACAACCCCCTTATCCACTGGCATGAACTAAAAGTCAGCTTTCTCTCAGAATTCTACCAGCAGCACTGCTTGACCCCAGGAAATGGGCAGCACACAGTAGTTTCCCGCTGATCCCAGTCCTTAACTTCAATCCAAAAACAGTGATTACAATGAGGGGGAAAAAAATGCAGATGCCTTTCTCCAGCACAGGGACTGTGATTGCCCAATCAAGCTACAACCCAGGATAAAAGCTCTGTTCAGGCATACATATGCCATGTCTGAACCCTAACTATCTGCTCTGCACAGCTACCTTTTAGGAGAACCTAGCCATCGGTTTATTCATAAGTCCACTTCACACATTTAAAAGGTGATTGCTTCTGACTAGGCATGGACTATTGGACACTGAATCAGTTTATTATTAGAAACCAATATCCATTACCACTGATCCCCAAACTAATGGACTACATGGGCACTGCTTGGGAGTACACAAAACTAGACCTCTCGGGGGAATATAATCTAGTATGTATTAGAGCTGGGAATGAATGGAAGACTACCTTTCAAACTTGTTGTGGTCACTTTGAATATCTCGTGGTGCCCCTGTGGTTTGACAAGCATGCCTGCGATGTTCCAACATTTTATTAATGATGTTCTCCAGGACATTCTGGGCCAATATGTGGTAGCTCACCTGGATGACACACTTATTTTTTCAAACAATGCTGAACAACACACCATGTACATCCATTCCATCCTGAAGGTGCTGCGCCAATATGGCCTCTATGCTAAACTAGAAAAATGCACCTTTGATCAGTTCCCCAAAGAATTCCAGGAGTTCATCCAATCCTCCACTGATACTGAAATGGTAAAGGCAGTCTTCACGTGGGCAGCACCATGGCACATTTGTGTCCTACGGTGTTTTCTGGGGGCTGCAAACGTCTATCAGCAGTTCATTCCAAGGTTTTCAAATGGATTGTCCCTTTCACCACTCTGCTCTGCAAAAACACCAGGTTCCTTTGGTCTCCCGAGGCCCAGCAGGCCTTTGAGCAATTAAAACTCGCATTTACCACCACTCCTTTATTGGTCAACCCAGATACTGCGAAAGCCATCATCATGGAAATGGATGCTTCCAATCTGGCCATAGGAGCAGTGCTGTCCCAAAGATATGGTCCTCAATTATTGCTGTATCCACATGCCTTTTACTCCAGGAAAGTCACACACATGGAGCAAAATTATGAAATTTTGGACAAAGAAATCCTGGTAGTTAAGACTGCCTTTGAAGGGTGGCACCACTTATCTAGAAGGGGACCGATACCCTGTCCAGGTGTACACTGATCATAAGAACCTGGACTATTTGCATAGGGCTAAGGCCCTCTACCAACAACGTCAGTGGGCCTTATTCTTTTTGTGCTTCTGTAATCTCCTATTGTCCAGGACCCCAAAATAGCAAGGCCAATGCCCTATCCCAGAAGGGAAAATGTTATACTGATCCAAAGGACTCAAACCCTAAAACTTCCTGCATCCTCAGATCTCATAACTTTCTGAGCATGGCTCCCCGCCAAGACCTGTTTAACACTCACACAATCAGCGTCAGCCCATGGGATTCCTCCTGATGAACAGGAACCCCACAATGTTCAAGGTGGGGTGACTTATGTGAAAGGGCATATATACATTCCCCCTGGACCTCTGAGGACTACAGCCCTACCTGACAGGACAGTTTGGCTACTTTAAAATTCATGCCTAGTCTCTCATCTCTTTTGGTAGCCTCACATGAGGGCTACAGTACAGGTCTATGTATCCTCTTGCAATGTTTGCGCCCACTCCAAGATACAACACAATAATCCCTTCAGACTCTTGCAACCCCTCGAGACTCCACCTGGCCCCTATACGTCATTGCCCCAGATTTTGTAGTAGAAGTACCAGAGTCCAGTGGGTTCATGACTGTTCTGACAATCATGGACTACTTCACAAAGATGGCTCATTTTGTCCCCTGCATTGGTCTACCCTCTGCCAGGAAGCCTCCCAGCTCTGGGTGGATCAAGTTGTCTGCATCCATGGCCTCCCGGAGCGCATCATCTCTAACCATGGTACTCAATTTATTTCTTGCTTCTGGCGAGAAGCTCTCCAGATTTTGGGCATCTGCTCCTGTCTCTCCTCTGCCCATCACCCCCAGACAACTGTCAAACAGAACTAACCAGATCCTGGAGCAGTATCTTCAATGCTACATAAACTTCCACCAGAATGGCTGGTCCTTGCTGGAATGCCGTTTTGTTCTTACCTGAGACAGAGTTCACGTATAATAACGCAGAACACCCCTCTAGAGAACAAAGCCCTTTATTTTCAAACTATGGGTTCCACCCTCAGTTCTACCTGGAGCTACCACAACTTCTCAAACCCAGCAGTCCTGGGCTAAATACAACAGAAATGTCAAATCCAAGATTACCTAAAGGTTCACCTGGAGGACACCAAGAAGTGCTACAAATAATATGGGACTGTTGATGACAGGAGGGCCTGCGTTTTCAGTAGGCCAGAGGATATGGCTCGTAATGAAACACCTATACATGGAAGGCTATCTAGTAAATTGGACTTCCACTTCCTTGGCTTTTAGTGAGCTCACCTGTAAATTAACCCATTCACATCACTCAACTTAATCCATTCCCTCTGAATACACCGTTTCCCATATCTCTTCTGAAACCCTACATTCAGGACCCATTCCCTCATCGATCCTCACTCTATGCCCCCCCACTATGCCACTATGTGTATATTGTCCACGAGATGCTTGAGGCCAGAACCAGATGGGGGGGGGGGGATACTCTGGTATCTTGTGGATTGGGAAGGCTACAGTCCTGAAGAAAGCTCCTGGGAACCGGTGGAGAACATCCATGCCCCTGATCTGGTAAATGACTTCCACAAAAATTGCCCCGGGAAACCTGTCCCACTACCATCCAGGGTGGGAGAGGGGTGATGTGAGGGATCATGGGTTTTGAATGCAGGCCATGCTCAGACTACGGCTGCCACTCAGCATCTCACTGGAGCCGCTGGAGAAGGGGACTAGCGGAGCTCTAGCTCACCAAGGGCTCCACCTACAAAGCTCCTGATTGGGAGGAGATGTCCAGCCCCACCAATTGGCCTGGGTGCTCTACGCTAAGCAGAAGGAGGCACAGGAAATTGTCTGGCAGCCAGCCAGGAATTCACCTAGTTGCTCAGTCACTACAACTCCGCCTACTGGCCTAACTCCTGAGCCTGCCTTCCTGGCTGTTCCTGATTCCCACCGTCCTTATCCCACATGTGTGTTTTCCCCTGGTTCCTGCTTTTGCTCCAGGTCCCTGCTCCTATGCCACACCCCTGGCTCCCAACTCTGGCTCCAACCCTTGACTCTGTCTCTGGTCCCTGACTCCCAACTCTAATCATTAAGCATGCCTGCCCATGCCCCGTCCTTGCACTCTGTTCCTCTCTCCACCTCGGTACTGAGGGGATAATTCCAGCTCTGAAAAGAAGCCAAAAGTTTTTCCTGGGATGTTCCTGAAGCCACGTCGGAAACGTCAGGGGCCAGCTCTCTGATGGCAGGTAGACGCCCAGGGAAGTGGTGAGGAGTAGGGTCTGTGCAGGAGGAGCTAGTTGCTGAGGTGTGGAAGAGGTGTGGACCAGAGAACAGTTTTCACCCACCTCCTGAACTGAGCCCTGCATCGCTTGCCTGGCATATGAGCCTACACAGGGGAAACAATTCCTGATCAGAGCTGGTTGGCAGGTTCTGGTTAAGACCCGCGGGTTCAATATGCAGAATGCCCGGCAGTGGCTGAGCACTAATGCATGTCTCTTCTCTTCTTTCTCCGCTTCTCCTGGGATCTCTAGCATCTCGTAAGTACGGCCTTTGTTTCTGTTTCCTTGTTTGTTGGCGTCTTGGACAGAACCCCCCCCCGCCATCTCATTTTTCTCTAGGCCTTCCCCTACTTGAAGGCTGCATGGTCAGCTTGCCAGATGATTGATGGCTGCACCTGGATGCCTAAATAGAACAGATTTCAGTCACCCTCATCTCTAACCTGGAGACTACAGGTCCCAGCATGCTTTGCCCTAACTTGATCCAGGCAAGAACAGGTGTTGCCATAGGTGCTGGAACTAGGGATGCTGGGGGTGCTGCCGCACCCCCTGGCTTGAAGTGGATTCCATCATATTGAGAGTTTACAGTTTAGTTCAGTGGCTCTCAGCACCCACCCTCCACAAATTGTTCCAGAACCCCTGGGTGTTGCATGCTGGATCTGTAGTCTCTAAGGTCCAAACCTCCATGTTAAGAGTGAGGACTAGTGTCAGCCATTTTGCAGGCCATACTTTGGGTATCCTTGTGCTAGCTTTGGGAGCAGGCACCTTCCCAGCCTCCTGTAACAGCTGTAAATAACCAGTACGCAATGGTTTGATGGTCTCTTCTCAGCCAGTCCCTGACTTCTGTATGGTTCCATGTGGCCTGGGTCTCTTCCACAGAGCCAGACTGTGTGTTGGGAGGGTCATGCCTCTCTCTCTGTTGTCTGGTGAGAACTTGCTCTCTCTGTCTGTCTGTTTCATGTCGTCTTCAGTTCAAAGCTGTGTAGTTGGTTAATGGCTTAAAATGGTTTCCCAGGGCATTCAGGGGCTACGCAGAGAGGAAGAGACGGAAACGAGAAAATGATTCGGCAGCTGTTATTCAGAGGTAGGGCCTGTTTTCCTGTAACCTTGCCTGGCGTTGCATGGGCCCGTCGGGTGTCATCAATGACACTTGATGATGTTGAACATGGTTGTCCCTTGTCTGTGTTGCTGTTTTAGTGAGGACGCTAGCGGTGGCCATGCTGAAAGGGCAATGAGTCTATGGTAAGCAAGCTAGCCAGTCTCCAGTCTTCTTAAAGGGACACTGTCAAGTACTTTAAGCTCCAAATCAAAACAGACAGGATCTTAAAGCTCAGATATGTAATAATATAGGTGCATAACTTACAGATGCAATGAATTATATTAATTCAGTAACTCTGTGTGATGATGGCCAGTTAAATGCCTAGCGGGTCATTTCCATTTACAGTTGTTGAACTTTCTAACATCACAAATGTACCAGGACACGTGTATTTTTGGCAGCTGGATGGGCAGGATAAGACTCTGCATTAATGACAGCTGTTAACCATATTCACTGCAGCTCTATTCAAAACAGAGGGAGAAAAAAATCAATGTTTCTGCAACACAAAAGGATGAAATTGGCAGGGAAAAGAAGGCATTTTCTAGTGTCTAAAGTTTTCTTTTTTTATCAGCAATGGAAAGAAACAAGAGACAATTACAGACCCTATAAATGACTAGGCAGTGTCTCTTTAAAAAGGAGATGGCTCAGAGTTCTCTAGATGGCGATATGACTGTGTTAGAAAAGAGAGAGTCTTCATTGTTCATCCAGCCTGGCAGTATTTGAGCTGTGCACCTGCCATTGATATACACAGCAGTCAGGTAATTCGGTTACTGGGCCTTACCCTGAGTTGGTAGAGGAGAGAGTAAACGGAGGGTAGAGTGATGTGGTCTTTGTGGGACTATGCAATGCATCTCCTTACCACCCACAGACCCTCGGGATCAGGGCAGGTTGTGGGGTCCAAGTTGGTTTGTATTCTCTCTTGTGGTGGAAAAGAGACAGGATTTGTTTGCAATGAATAAAGTGGATTCATTACTGAGGCTACAGGACATAGCCAGGCCCCTGTGGTTCTCTCTGGCTCTTAGTGCCCCGGCTAACTCTGCTGCCTGCCCTGAACTAAGGGGTCAGTGCCATAAAATGGAGCTCTCTATTCAATCTCAGCCTCTCCTCCATCTCAGAGGCTCACCCCAGAGTCCTTTCCACTGTCAGGAGGAGGTGTAAGAATTTAAGCAGTGGAACTGGAGCTGCAGCATTGTGCTAACCATGCAATGCGTCTGGTGCATCGGCAAAAACACTGCCTCAGTCGCTGGACTTGCACCTTGGCATTGTACATACCCGCTAAAAGGGGCTTGAGATTGCCTCAGGCAGCAACTGCAGGGGAATGGAGGGGTCCGTGGTGGTTGCAGTTAAATGTCAGGATTGTTGGGTTTAGGTCCTGTATTGCAGCAGAAGGGATCTGATTGAGAAGCTAAAGTACTTAAACAATTCTCCTAATAAAAGTGCTTCTATTGAGCATGCAGAGGAGTCCAGGAGAGCTGGCTGTATTTTAAAAAAGCCTTATTTAGGGCGCAGGAACAAACCATCCCGATGTGCAGAAAGAAAGATGTGCAAATATGGCAGGCTACCAGCTTGTCTTAACAGTGAAATCTTCGGTGAGCTTAAACTCAAAAAGGAAGCTTACAAGAAGTGGAAACTTGGACAGATGACTAGGAAGGAGTATAAAAATATTGCTCGAGCATGCAGGGGTGTAATCAGGAAGGCCAAAGCACAAATGCAGTTGCAGCTAGCAAGGGATGTGAAGGGTAACAAGAAGGGTTTCTACAGGTATGTTAGTAACAGGAAGAAGGTCAGGAAAAATGTGGGACCCCTACTGAATGAGGGAGGCAACCTAGTGACAGAAGATGTGGAAAAAGCTAATGTACTCAATGCTTTTTTTGCCTCGGTCTTCACAGACAAGGTCAGCTCCAGACTGCTGCACTGGGCAGCACAGTATGGGGAGAAGGTAAGCAGCCCTCAGTGGTGAAAGAACAGGTTCAGGACTATTTAGAAAAGCTGGACATGCACAAGTCCATGGGGCCGGATGTAATGCATCCGAGGGTGCTGAGGGAGTTGGCTGATGTGATTGCAGAGCCGTTGGCCATTATCTTTGAAAACTCGTGCTGATCGGGGGAGGTCCTGGATGACCTAATTGCCTTCTATGAGGAGATAAATGGCTCTGTGGTTATGGGGAAAGTGGTGGATGTGATATGCCTTGACTTTAGCAAAGCTTTTGGTACGGTTTCCCATAGTATTCTTGCCAGCAAGTTAAAGAAGTATGGATTTGATGAATGGACTATAAGGTGTATAGAACGGTAGCTAGATCACCAGGCTCAATGAGTAGTGATCAACAAGTCTAGCTTGCAGCCAATATCAAGTGGAGTGCGCGAGGGGGCTGTCCTTGAGCTGGTTTCATTCAAAATCTTCATTAATGATCTGGATGATGGGATTAATTGCACTCTCAGCAAGTTCGCAGATTACACTAAACTGGGGGGAGAGGTAGATATGCTGGAGGGTAGGGATAAGGTCCAGAGTGATTTAGACACATTGGAGGATTGGACCAAAAGAAATCTGATGAGGTTCAACAAGGTCAAGTGCAGAGTCCTGCACTTATGACGAAAGAATCTGATGCACTGCTACAGGCTGGGGACTGACTGGCTAAGTGGCAGTTCTGCAGAAAAGGACCTGGGGATTACAGTGGATGAGAAGCTGGATATGAGTCAGCAGTGTGCCCTTGTTGCCAAGAAGGCCAATGGCATATTGGGCTGCATTAATAGGAGCATTGCCAGCAGATCGAGGGAAGTGATTATTCTCCTCTATTCGGCACTGGTGAGGCCACATCTGTAGTATTGCGTCCAATTTTGGGGCCTCCACTACAGAAAGGATGTGGAAAAATTGGAGAGAGTCCAGCAGAGGGCAACAAAAATGATTAGGGGGCTGGGGCACATGACTTATGAGGAGAGGCGGAGGGAACTGGGCTTGTTTAGTCTGTAGACGAGAAGAGTGGGGGGTGGGGGGGGATTTGATAGCAGCCTTCAACTACCTGAAGGGGGTTTCCAAAGAGGATGGAGCTCGGCTGTTCTCAGTGGTGGCAGATGATAGAACAAGGAGCAATGGCCTCAAGTTGCAGTAGGGGAGATCTAGGTTGGATATTAGGAAAAACTATTTGACTAGGAGGGTGGTGAAGCACTGGAATAGGTTACCTAGGGAGGTGGTCGAATCTCCATCCTTAGAGGTTGTTAAGGCCCGGCTTGACAAAGCCCTGGCTGGGATGATTTAGTTGGTGTTGGTCCTGCTTTGAGCAGGGGTTGGACTAGATGACCTCCTGAGGTCTCTTCCAACCTTAATCTTCTATGATTCTATGCAAATTCCTCAATCCAGACAGACCTGCCTGCTGTGTAGTGTAGGAAATTGTACCCCGGGATGGGCTGCATCTGTCTCAAGAATCTTTTGGATGGAATGCCTCCCAGGGGTATGGAGTCGTGGCTGTACAGACTGTGGTGGAAAGTTGGTGCTGGCAGCAGTAGGAGCAATATTTAGGAAGAGAAATAACAAATAGTGCCTCTTTCAATTTTTAACTTAACTGCTGCTTTCTGCATTTGGATGGATGAAGAGATTTTTGACAAGTTAAAAGATCAGATTGTGTTGTGTTGGTGAGTGCAGGCATTGGTAATTCGCCCCAAGCCCCCTCGTCACATGAGTCCTGGGTGGGTCATCGTATCTCCTGTGACTTCCGCTCCTCCAAGGGTAACTGCTGCTGCTTCTTGGCTCTTTGGCTGCTCCTTATGGATAAGGACAGAGGTCAGACTCGAGACAGAGTGACACAGTTGTACAAATCAGTAAGGATGGAGAGGCCCAGCCTGCTGCCTAGTGGATGGGATGGGATCATGTCACTCCTTTCCAGAGCGTTTCTTTCTAGAGGGGCAGGGGAAGGGATCCTTTTACTCCCATGTTTACTCTCTCCTGATCTCCCACGGGCTTGTGTCATGGTGACCTTCCCTGCAGCTCTGGAAAGTGGGATACAACTCCCCCGAGACCTGTTAGTGCTGCTCTCAGCACTGCTCAGGGGATGTCTCTGGAGCTCTCACTTAGGGACAGACCATGCTGTCCTTGTAGTTTTCAGCACAGTGAGAGAATGCTCTCATACTGCAGAGCCCTGTTCCCATGGGGCTGGGTCCACCCTCCAAGGGGAGCTGAGCATTTACAGCAGCCTGGGTGGTTGAGATTAGCATGTTAGCTCTAGCAGGGGAATGCAAACATTTCGGCATTAACCTGGTACAATGTAGGTTTGAAAGCTGCATTTTACTGGGCTCCCTTCCAGAAATGTGCCCATTTCCTTTCAAGAATGAGATGTTACACTGACATCTCAATTGTAATCAGATCTGACACCTCTGGCTGGGTACTGGCCAGTAGCCACAGGGATCAGGAAGGAATTCTGCCCCCACTCCATATAGAGCACTGCACAATAGCCAGGGGCAGCATGTGTTTAGGAAGCCACAAGTCTAGGTCACAGCTGGGGACCGGATACCCATCTAAAAGGGGCCAGTGGCCTGACCCATGATGATGAATATTGTGACCTCCCAGTAAAGCTGATCAGTCCTGCCAGGTGCCAGATGAGTGTAATTTACACACCAAGGAGCCAGATAGAGAAGCAAGTTGAAGTAGGATGGAGGCTTTTCTTTGCCTCCTCCCACATGCATGAATTACACCAGCTGAGTCCCCTTGGAGCCAGCTCTGACATACTGCTCAGGTCCCACTGTGAGTCTGTGTCAGTCTCGGGGAACCTAGAGATGGCACAGCGTACCCTCGGGGCTCCGTCTGCATTTGGGCCTCGGCCTTGGTCTCTCTCAGGGTATATTTGCCCAGCCCGCGGCAGCGAGCTCCCAGCCTGGGCCGATAGAGGTGGTCTGGTGGGGCTCATGCTAGTGCCCTGACAATGGCTGTGTAGACAGCTCTTTGAAGTTGCGACTCAGGCTGGGGCTTGAACTCTGAAGCCTGGGGCGGGGGCTGGGCTCCCAAACTCAGCCCCCACTCGCGCTGTAACTAAAGTGCTGCCTACACAGCGTGAGCCCCACTATTGTCCTGGGCTGGGAGGCTCCCTGCCGTGGGCTGTGGAGCTATATCCTCTGGGCAGCTGCTGACACTCAAGTCTGATTTATATAGAACTGAGTCTGGGGTGATTTCCTGGGGCAGTTGCCATGTATCAAGGTGCCATCCTGCGGCATCTTTTACCTCTGGGGTCTCTGCTTCCTCTGTATCCCCACCCATCCCTGGCCTGTGAATCCCAGGCAGGAAGGTACATGTTGAGAGATGCACTATTAGCAAGTAGAGGCAAAACACCTGCCCCAGGAGGACCTTCCTGCTTCATGACTGTCCCATTCTGGGGGGCAATCCAGACCAGTGAGCGCTGTACCTTGGAGTGGAATTTAAAGATGGAAGAGGCCCCTGGGGGGTCAGCGCAGGAACCCACCTGCCTAGCATTCAAGTCACTGTGAATGTTAGCACTGAAAGCACCCCCAAATGTGCTTTGGGAATGGGCAGAGCTGTGAGTGTGGCATGAGCATGGGGTGGGGAAGAGGACCTCTGCACTCCTGCTGTACTGTCTGGGGCAGGGAGGAGTGGAACACCTGCCTTTGGTTTCCAAGTGGACGGGAAGAGTTAGCAGCTCCTCGAGCCCTTTGCCAGCTAAGGTGGGCAGCATGCTCTGGGGCCGTGGGAAGGTAGGTGAGGAAGGGTGAATCAGGGAGAGTGGAGGCAACAGCCCGGAGGAGGTTGCGTGAGGGTGGCTGATGCACAGCAGCTCCGTGGCACAGGGATTGAAAGGGAACATAGCCGCTCCCTTCAGCTGGCAGACGAGCCGCACCCTGGCCACTGAACAAATGCAGCTGGAGTTGCTCTGGGAGTTCTGTTGTGCCCTGTGTGACTGCATTTAAATGCCTGGAAAACGGGAACCTTCCCCCTGCTGCTACTGCTTGGGTCAGTTGGTTGCTGACCCCAGCGCTCATCACTGGGTTTGTGTTGCTTTTCTTTCAGGAATTTTCGGAAGCATTTGCGCATGGTGGGGAGCCGCCGGGTGAAAGCGCAACGTGAGTAAGAAGCCACAAAGCATGGCCGGGAGATGGGAGGCAGAGGGTTAATGCTGATGGGACATGAGGCTGGAGAACAGTGCTGAGGAACCAGACTCCTCTGTAATTAGTCATTGTTTTGCTGTCTGTTGTAAGCGGAGAACTGGAAAGCACCCGGCACAGGTGCTGAGATGAGGTTTTCCTCCCTCACACTGCTGTGTGTAGAGAAGAGGCCAGCTGGTCCCCCAAGCCTCCATACGCACCAATGTATGACACTGGCCTTTAACTGTGTGACGTGACATAGCATAGCATAGCAGGCAGCGCGACATGACATAGACCCCTTCCCCTCCTTGGGTAGGAGACCCAGCGTGCAGAGTCCACGTTGTTGTCAGGGCCGTGCAGGAGCAGTCAGGAAGGGGTCCCCAGCTCTGTGTGGGATACAGGTGCATGTGGCTCCTGTACTCACTAGTGCTAGAGATGGGTACATAAGAGGGCTGCACTGCACTACAGGGTTAGACTCCCTCATTAAGTCGCTCTGAGAGAGATGCAGCGCGTAATGAGGGCTGCCAGGCTTCTCACTGCTTCATGGGGCACAGCTACAAACCAGAGAGGCTTTGTGTTTTCACAGGGCTGAGCTGTCCCTTTCCCACCTCTCTCCTCCCATCCTGCTCACCGCTCCCCACCCCCCACCGGCTGCCCTCACCTCCTGCCTGCCCGAATTAACTCTGCCACTGTCGTGTGACTAGTGGGCTCTGGCAGCTGGGGAGCGTGACAGTTTGCGCTTAAATAAAGAGAGTTCTATCCATGGGGCCTGAAGGGTGACTGTAAGGGCTACAGACAAGGTGGCAGACATATGGGCCAGGACCCTGTCCTGCGGCCAGCAGTTCCCTCTGTAATTACCAAGGCAATCTGATTTGCACTCAGAAGTTGGGCACAGACCCCTGTCCCCTTCTTTCACCCTCCTCTTTCCTAGTAGTGGCCATTTGTACACACCATGGCGGTGGGGGGCCATGAATCCCCACACCCCAGACTGAGAAGGAGTTGCTTTCCAGCTTCCTTCCCCCATCCCTTCTGCCGGTGTGAGCCCTGTGGTACCTTCTCTCTGCCTCTCCCCTACCACTGAGCCCAGCAGCACTGGGCCTGCGGAAGAGGCTGCTTTCCTACCAACCCTCCCAGCTGTTGCCACTACTGAGCCCAGGTTCCGGGAATCGCTGCTTCTTTCGCTGTCTCCAAGAACAGGACCCAGAGGGAGAACCCCTCATGGGGAGGTGTGAGATGGGTAGGGGTGGAGTAGGAAAAGAGATGTGAGGAGAATGACCAAGTGGGCCATGTGTGGAAGGGAGGAGATGGGGGCCAGGGAGAGGCAAAGGAGGGGACCCTCATGAAAGGTGGCTGGTATTAGGGGCTGGTGAGCTAGTCAGCAGCAGAGGGGAACATTGAACAACGCTTGGGGAAGTAGTGCCCTTTGCAGTCTGCCACATTTTTCTCTTGCCAGTGAACCGTTTACTCCCGGCCCCCAAGCCCTATCAGCAAGGGCAGCTCACCCCTCAGCCCAGCACGTGTGTGACACCCCTGCATGGCCTGGTCCAGTTTGCTCCTGGGGGCTTGTCCAGGGAGGCCATTGCCATTGGGGTAAGAATCAAGTGTGCTGCACACAGTCATCCAGGATTTACTAAAGAAGTATGGGCTGGATGAATGGACTGTAAGGTGGATAGAAAGCTGGCTAGATCGTCGGGCTCAA